TTTTCGGTGTTTGCGTTTGGCGGCGGGCGGCCGTTTTTGCGTTTTTGGCGGTGTTTGCGTTTGGCGGCGGGCGGCCGTTTTTTTTGCGGCGTTTTGCGGTTGGCGGCGGGCGTGCGTGCGTTGCGGGCGTTTTTTGCGGCGGTGTTTGCGTTTTTCTGCGGTTTTTGTGTTTGGCGGCGGGCGGGCGGGCGATGAGGGTGTTTTTGCTGTTTGCGTTTGGAGGCGGGCGGCCGTTTTAGCGGCGGTTTGCGGCGAGCGGCCGTTTTTTGCGGCGTTTTGCGGTTTGCGGCGGGTGGCCGTTTTTTGCCGCGTTTTGTGGTTTGCGGCGGGCGGCCGTTTTTTACGGCGTTTTGCGGTTGCCGGCGGCCGGCCGTTATTTGCGGTTAGCGGCGGGCGGCGGGCGGTTGTTTTTTGCGGCGTTTAGCGGTTTGCAGCGGGCGGCCGTTTTTGCGGCGTTTTGCGGTTCGCGGCGTGCGGCCGTTTTTTGCGGCGTTTCGCGGTTGGCGGCGGGCGATGCGGGCGTTTTTTTTGCGGCGGCGCGGTTTGCGTTTTTTGCGGTGTTTGCGTTTTGCGGCGGACGGGCGGTGTTTGGCGGCGTTTTTTGCGTTTTTTTCTGCGGTTTTCGGCGCGCGGGCGATTGTTTTTTTGCGAAGTTTGCGTTGGCGTTTTGGGCGTGCGTTTTGCGCGTTTTGCGGTTTTGCGTTTTGCGGCGGGCGGGCGGTTTTTCACAATTCAAGTCCCAACCTTCGGATCCGCAGTGCTGTTCGACAAGCGCTGCCCGGGCCTAAAAATCACCGAAGTGATTTCTTTCTTAGTTTTTACGCTCTTTTGATTGCCGCTTACCACAGTGTAGCTACGTGGCCCAGGGGCAAAGGTAGACGAGGGGGCGGGGGGCGCCCCCCACCCCCACCCCCCACCCAGCTCTCGGCGGAAAGTTCAGGCCACCAGAACGGCGCGGGTTAAAGGCACTTGCAATAGCAATCTAACAGTCCACAGTGAAAGATGATAGAACTTGAAAGCTTTTTTTTTGCTGAAATTGATCGGAAGTTATTGAAGAAATGCACGGTTAAAACCTGGTGTTAGCCGGTTTTTCCGCCAACCTGCGACTCTGGGCGCCCTCGAAGCCGGTCCCGTGGATCCCCTGGTCACGTGATGGCGCGACCCCAGCCGAACGGTCTCGCCTGGTCACACGGACCGCTCAACCAATAAGAAGCCAGGGCCAAGGACGCCCGGCCGGCGTGGGACTGGGCGGCGCGCGCGCGGGCCACTTGGCCGGCGAACAGCGACACCCTATGACCCTAATGACGTCATAAAAGACGTCACGCAAGGTCAACATTGCAAAAGTAACGCATCGAATTCGATCCTTGCGATAAGTGCATGAAATCACAATTTTGTGTGCTTGAGAGAGTAGGGGGTCGTTCCCGGCGCCAGAATAATGGTTTTAGTTTTCATTTTTCCCCATTCACTTAAAATGGTGAGGTCACGAAAATGACCTGACCTCATATGATCTTTAGAAAAATCCGAGATACACAAGATGTGTGACTCCTTATGGATGCTAGGTCCTGCAAGTTTCATTTCCCTAGCTGTGAAAGCTCCTCTGGCAGTGAGGACGTTGCGAAGATGCGACATCTGAAGACCGTGTAGAGGTTCACTTATGACGTCATAGGTCAGTGACCTGACCGGACCCGAAAATGCGATTGGTGTCAAAAGATCCGGCTTGAATCAAAAGTCAGGCATGCCAAGTTTCAGCTCTCTCTCTATCGCGGGCGTGTTCAGAGCCATCGCGTAAAAAACCCTGGGGGGGGGGGCATCCCCTTCCTCGGCCGGTGAGGGTTAATTAAGACAATTTTCAGGTACTTACTGTGCTCAATTTGAAATCGATTATTTTGCTATAATAAATTTTGCTTTTAGAATGGGACAAGTGTTAGTGTTGCATGATCTTTTTGGGGATAGAGGATGGAGCCGACTGCAGAGTCGGGTCGCTTTTCCTGGCCCGGAGGCTGAACGCTTGAGGGGGCACTCTTAGCTACAGAAAGAGCCTCTGAGCCCCATGAAGGGGCCCCCTGAACACTTGACGGGGTCCCCTTAGCTACAAAAAGGTCGTCTGAATACACAAGGCCCTCTGAGCGCCTGGATAGGCCCCTGATCTCTTTATGAGGGCCCTCTGAGCGCATACAGAACGCTCGACGGGGCCTCTCTGAGCTACAGAATGGCTCTGAGTACACGTCAGAGTCCTCTAAGTGCATGAAAGGGCCCTCTGTTCACTTGACGGGGTCCATGATCACTTGACGGGCCCCTGATTGCTTGACGGGGCCCCGGCCAGAAAAGGCCCCATGAGTACACGACAGGGCCCCTTAACCCGCGCCGTGCTGGTGGCCTGAACTTTCCGCCGAGTGCTGGGGGGGGGGGCGTTTTCACGCCCCCCCCCCGTCTAACTCGGCTCCTGGGCCACGCAGCGACACGCGGTAAGCGGCAATCGAAAGGGCGTCAAAAATAAGGACGAAAACACTTCGGTCATTTTTTGGGTCAGGTCAAAGGTCAGGTCACCAGAGGTCACCAAAGGTAAAATGTTGACTATTTCAACATTTTGGAAACTGCCAACGGCTATCTCGGGAACCGATAGAGCTACAGCGCCGCGGAAAAGCGCATTCGATAGCCCTTTTACAGACCTTTCTGAGTAATGTTCTCAGATTTGACCTCAGGTCAACGGTTTAGCCTCCAGAGGGCAAAAACTCCAAAAATAGCCGTTTTTACGAAAAACGTTTTTTCGTCAATAACTTTTGACTCATAAGCGCCATGACATTACTTTTGCCAGCATCGTGTTCCTCTCGTCGAGACGCGTCGAATGAACTATTTGTTGACCTTGAAAGGTCATTTTGAAAATTTGACCTCAGGTCAAGGTCATGACCTGACCGAAAAGGGTCATGTTGCATATCAGTCGATCCGTATCGTCGAGCTGAACACATCTGACGTGTTTTCACCGCTCTAGCACGTCTCTATCAAAAGTTATAGCCAAAAAACTGCTGGCGACCGTTCATGACCTGAGATGACCTCAGGGGCACACAGAGGGGTCACAGGTGCATTTTTCCTATTCAGTGTGTCATGTTTACCTATGAACCGATGTTTGAGAGCGTTTTGAACGATATTCGTCCAAAAGAGGCGCATTTCAATTTTCTCCCATTGACTTATAATGGAGAGGTCGCAAAATTGACCTGACCTTAGGTCACAGATATCAAAAATCCGAGATATACATTTTATACATACTGTTACTCATATCAATCGCTGAAAGTTTCAAAGTGATCGTTCAGTCGGTGTAGCTATAGCGAGCCTTTGAACTTTTTCTGAGGTAAGGTCACTTGACGTGACCTGGTGACCTGACCTTGAACGGCCTAGGTCTGAAATTTTCACAACATGTGCGGAAATGATGTAGGAACACGTGTACCAAAAACGGCGGCGCTGCGCGCCGCCGTTTTTGAGATATTTGCGAAAAACCTGAGGGGGGGGGCGTAAAAACGCCCCCCCCCCCAGCACGGCGCGGGTTAAGCAAATGAAGAGGCCCCTGGTCGCGCGTGACTGGGCCCTCTGAGCTACAAGAAAACTCGAGCATATAGGCCTCTGTACGCTTGACGAGGGCCCTATGAGTTACAAAAAAGCCCTGAATACACGAAAGGGCCCTCTAAACGCATGAAGGGGCCCCTGATTCCTTGACGGGCGCCCTCTGAGCAAATGATTAGGGTCCCTGATTGCTTGACGGGGACCCTTTAAGCTACATAAAGGCCCTCTGAGTACACGACAGGGCCCTTCTGAGCGCATGAAGGGCCCCTGATCGCGTGACGAGGCCCTCCGAGCTATATAAAACTATCTGATCATATAAAGGACCCCTGAACGTTTGGTAGCGGTCTCTAAGCTATAGAAGGGCCCTCTGAACGCATAAAGGACCTTAACGTTTGACGGGGCCGCCCCTATGAGCTACAGAAAACCCTCCACGTACACGACGGGCCCTCTGACCGCATGCAGGGGCCCCTGATTGTTTAACGGGGCCCTCTAAAGCCATAGAAAGGCCCTATGAGTACACGACAGGGCCCTCTAAAAGCGCATGAGAAGGCCCCGAATCGCACGTAACGGGCCTTCTGAGCTACAAGCAAACTCTCTGAGCATATAAAGGGTCCCTGAGCGCCTGGCGGGGCTCTCTAAGCGACAAAAGGGCCCCAGCGCTAAGAGGGCCCCTGAACGCTTGACGAGGGTCCTATGAGCTACAGAAAAGCCCTGAGTACAAGAGAGAGCCCTTTAAACGCATGAATGGGCCCCCGATTCCTTGGCGAGGGCCCTCAGAGCACATGATAAAGGCCCTGATTGCCTGACGGGGCCCTCTAAGCTACATAAAGGCCCTATGAGTTCACGGAAGGGCCCTCTAAGCGCATGAAGAGGCCCCTAATCGCACGTGACTGGGCCCTCTGAGCTACAAGAAAACTATGAGCATTTAAAGGGCCCTCTGAACGCCTGAGAGGCTTCTCTGAGCGACAAAAGGGCCCCAAGCGCTTAAAGGGCCTCTGAAGGTACGCTTGACGAGGGCCCTATGAGTTACAGAAAAGCCCTGAGTACACGAGAGGGCCCTCTAAACTCATGAAGGGGTCCCTGATTCCTTCACGGGGCCCTCTGAGCACATTATAAGGGTCCCTAATCGCTTGACGGGGGTCCTCTAAGCTACATAAAGGCCCTCTGAATACACGACAGGACAGGCTTTAAAAGCGCCCTACCGATCTGTAGGGGCCTGTAACAGCCGCCGGTTAAATTTTTCAATACTGGCCCTCTGTCGTCAATAGTTTTTGACCACTGCTAGAACCTATTTAACGGTTTTAGAGGGCCATTGCACGACTACGAAAAAAGTCTTGAAAGCTCAGACTGGGCTCCTGACTGTGGGGTACTGGGTATATGCAGTACCCCACAGTCAAATGACTGTGGGGTACTAGTACCCCACGTACCCCACGGTGGCGCCGCCCATGGAGCAGCACCACCGACAGCATGGTGGCCAGGATGATGTACCAGAACCAGACGAAGATGAAGGCCTTCTCGTTGACAATGTTGAGCGCCAGCACGCACAGCGAGTCGTGGCGGGTGACCGTTCCCGAAGGACCGAACTTGTGGAACACGCACTTGGTCAGCCGCGGGAAAACGTACACCATAGGGTCGACACGCTCCTCCTGCGGCATCTCGGAGAAGTTGAGCAGACGCGAGCCGTACGTGAAGAACTCGCCGTCAAAGAAGGCGTCCATCAGGTACATCTGGCCGATGACGTTCACCAGGCAGAGCAGCTCGCAGAAGAAGTAGCGGTACACGTACATATCGTGAGACCTAATATGACGAAGCATGTTGTCTACCAGCGTCTGCTTCTTCTTGGTGATCTCGTCCTCGGTCTTGAGGCCCCAGTTGAGGCCCATCACGACGGTGCCCATGATGTTGTTCTCCATGGCGTCCCAGATGAACTTGGGTGCGTAGCAGAGGATGGCCATGAAGGCGAGCACGAACACGACCCACTGGTAGTAGGTGTAGTATTTGGTGGCCTTGTCATCGTTCCAGGCCGAGCCGACGTTTCCCACACCGGGGTGGGCCACCTCCTCACCCACTTGCCTGTAGAAGGCATCCGGCATGGTGAACGTCGACATGATCCAGCAGTACGAGTTGATGATGTGGGTGCTGATGTCGCCATCGTTGATGCAGTCTATGGGGCTGCCGATGAACTGGGTGGCCGTCAGGATCAGGATGAAGAGCGCCAGCAGGCCGGTGGTGAACTGATAGTGCAGACGGAACACGGGACAGTCGTTGGACACATCCCGGATCTTGCAGAAGCTCTTGAGCGTTCCGAACACCCCTAACATGGTGGCGGCTGGTGGGCGGGGTGCGCTGTGTGTCGACCCGGCCCGGCTCGGCGCTGTGGAACGGGCGGCGCGCGCAGTCTAGCAGCCACTGCAGTGCAGCTGCAGTGGTCACCTCCTTCTGGTCACAAATTTTGAAGTTGACCTTTCAAGGTCAAATTATACTTCATTCGACGCGTCTCGGCAAGAGGAACACGATTCTGGCATTAGAAATGACCTAGCTTTTTTGAGTCAAAAGTTATTGTCAAAAAACTCTTTTCTTAAAAACAGCTATTTTTGGAGTTTTTGCCCTCTGGAGGCTAAACCGATGACCTGAGGTCATTTTTGATAATGACCTTATCAAAAGAGAAGTTCAACAGCTATCGATTGCTTTTCCCAGCGTTTTTCTAGCTATCATAGTTCCTGAGATAATAGCATGTTTTCTGAAAAATATAATGACAATTCGCAAATTTTGACCTTTGATGACCTCTGGTGACCCTAATATTGCTCTAAGATGAAAAATGACCGAAATACTTTCAAACGTACGCATCAAGAGCTATCGACTGCTTTTTACAGCGTCTTTCTAGCCCTCTTAGTTTTTGAGTTAGAGGTGGGTGGTAACATATGCCCCCCCCCCCCCCCAATAGGGCGAAGTTGGCTGAGACCGCCACTTGGGCGCGTTAATCAATTGTACCTACACCATCCCTGAAAATTTCATGACCCTAACCCAAATGACCTTTGACCTGTTGGCTGTAACCTGTTTCTCGAGACCATATTTGGCCGGAATCGCGATACGGCGTACCTATGTCGGCTCACATTATCCGTACGTTTACAGTCTTTTTGTGGTTGTAAACGTTCGAACGTGTGAAAGTGATGTTGGTGTCATGCATAATGGAGGTTGTCAAGGTCATGTCAAGGTCATTGACGTTTGATGATCTTGGTTCATTTTTTCCAGTTTTACCTACATATTTTTAGGGTAGTTTATGAAGCTGATTTCGAATTTAGCACCCATTTGAACATTTACCAAATAGTTTTTGTGTCTTCGTAGCATGTTACGAAGCTATCAGACATCATCTGTGATTAAAAATAACATGAAATTCGTGATCAGCACTCAGAAAAAACGTAACAACTTCCCTTTATGAAGTTCTTGCAGGTCCCGATTTTCCCGACTTTTGGGTCACTGACCGGACCTGGAAGGTCAACCATTGACATAGGACCTTAAAATTGAGTGTCTTCAGCTTCCTCTCGTCACGGGCAGCACGCTTGTTTTTTTCCGCGAAGCTCTAGCTCAATCAAGGGCCGAACAGCAAGGGGGTCCCACAGATCCCCTACCATGTGTTCGCGACTGGCAAAACACCAATACGGGCAAGGGAGCCATTTCGATATTTTTATTCCATACGCTGCCACTTGGATGTAATGTATTCGATAATTTACCATTCGATATTTTGCGTTTCGTTCACCCCAGCATTTTCCCCGGGCTTTGGTTGAAGTGACCTTTATACTAGAAAATGATCCAATTGATGATTTGTGGTATTTGACGATCTTTCGAGCGCCACTGCCTTACCGCTACTTGGTCCAGGAACTGATTTAGGTGGGTGTAAGAACATCCTCTCCCCCGCTCCCAGGTGTAGAAAGGTGAAGGCTAAGAAGAAACGTGATGTTTATCCAACCGAATGTTTTTTTTTTCAGGTGTCACAATTATTCCACGCAACATTTCAACGCTTCTAGCTCCGGTTTCAGCCAGTTATCAACAAAAAGTGCACTTCTGTATACTGCTAAGGAAGTGACAATGCTGTGCATTGGACGTACCAGCGGAATGTCGTGATGGTCTTGGTGCGAAGTGTCAAACTCATGTGACGTGAGGAATACTGTATAATATGTGTGATATCTGTGTGATGTGATAAATATACATTATTTTGTGAAATTAATATGGCGTAAGACATATTCATTATTATATTGTGATATTCATATGACATCCCGTCTGATATTTTAAATGAAACATGCCATTTCGGTGGCCCAGTATGCTTAAGGATACCCTCAGTGGGCTTATGTTTCTCCTCGCCGCCGCGACTCTAATGGTGCTCGCGCTGCACCATGGCGCTGTGGCGCCGCGTCCAGCGCCCTCCCGCCCCTCTGCCCCTGTCAGAGGCGGCCGCAGAGCGTTCAGGGAGCAGCTGTGGCACCAGTGTCGGAACGTGCTGCTCATGAGCCAGCTCCAGTTCCCCTGGGAAGTGGACGGCCGGCGTCGGCGGTGCCGGAAAACACATCGCTCCGTCGAGGAAATGCTGGAGGGGCTTCGGAAATTGCAAAAATCTCAGCCGGGTGAACGAGCCGCCAACGTAGTCTTCATTGGAGACAGCAGGGTCTATGGCCTCCAATCAACTCTGATGAAAAAACTCAACATGAGACCGGCTAATTTCAGTAATGTGCCCCTGTTCTACAGTGGGATATTCTATTCCAAGGAAGAGCTTCGGAGGGCTATCCCGTCCTCCGAGAAGCTGTCCGATCTAAGGAGTGGATGCACAGAGGCAAAGATCTACGCTCCGCCAGGTGCGGGGGGCCGGGCGCGCTGTTCGCTGGCAGGTGAGACTGCCACCCTGCGCGGCACGTCCTGGTGGCGACCGTTCCTGCAGCGGCGCTTCGGTGAGCGCCTGGACGCGCTGCTTGCCGAGTGCGAGGTGGGCCGCTGTGCGGACCTGGTGGTCCTCAGCAGTGGCCCGTGGTACGTCACCGCGGAGAGGTACCCCGGAGAAGGAGTCACCAGGCGGGTGGTGAGATTCATCGCTGACCTAGCCGCGCAGAGAGCCAGAATCGCGCGACTGGCGGCTGCCACCAAAGTTGTGTGGAAAGATAATGAACCATTTATGCCGGAGATTGCGTACGGACGCAAATGGCACATCACCAGATCGCTGATGGTTCTGTCGGCCGTGGTTCACGAGGCGGCGAGCCGTGTTCCCCGGCTGTCTGTGTGGACCAGCGGTGTGGCCGAGGTCACGCAGTTCTACCACAGTGTGTGCGTGACCCATCGGAGCAACTTCAGCGCCGTGACCGGGCCGGTCAGGGGCGAGTGTCGCGATCCCATGCACGTGGGAAAGACGCTCTCTTGGAGAATGCTGCAAACTCTTTTTAATGTTCTACTGTTTGATGTGAACACACCCTCTCAAGGTTTGTGCTGTGGATCGTGAAAAAGTGGTTTCCCGAAATGAATGAATACAGCATTGGGGCTTGTCACCAACGACAACTACTTACGGGAATACCTGAGAACGGGTAGGACCCAGGCATAGAATAGACTTGTATTGTGCAATTGCGTAACTAAACCGTGGGTGCTTTATCAAACTGATGTAGGTGCCGGTATAAATGTTGTTAAACTGGGACATGTTATAAGTACCTGTAGGCGATCTTCTTTTTATTTATTCAAGAAGCTATCAGGAAGACTTCGGCTCCCTCGGTCAGCCATGGCGGCATGTGTTGTATTTGCTTCCATTTTACTGATCGATTATTTGGACTGCATGTTTTGAAAATTTCGCAAAATTGTACAACAATTGTGTGTTGAATGTGGAGGGCATACTCGGTGTGGCTTCGAACCGATCGATATTTTGCTGTTTTACTTATGTTACGTTTTATTTTTAGCGTTTTTTACTGTTGACTTGGATGACAAAGGGCGCCGGAGCACTCCTGAGATCTCCTTTGAATATAAATAAAAGGCTGGGTCACAAGACCGTCTGCACTTAATACAGGTGTCTTCAGGAGCTGCCCGTCCCCCCATCTGGAGCAGGTGAGTCGCCATGGTTCGCAGGGCGGCACCAGTCACCACCGTGTACTAGTCTCCAGTCAACAGTGGCTCGACACCAGTCGCCACTGGGACCGGTCACCACTGTGTCGACACCAGTCACTACTCGCTCCCCGATAGTCATTTACTGAAGAACCATCCACTTGAAGGTATTGCCTGTGTTGTTGGACCAGTTGAGTTGAGTGTCTCAACAATGCTATTTCGACAGGAAACGATACAACTCGTCCTGTTATAACTCAGGACAGGAACCACCTGGCTTCGCCGATCAAGCGGATAGACAGCGGCGGGCATCATTCAAATCACAGAAATTTGAATAGGTCCTTCATCTCCATTTGGACTGTCGGCGGGATTCAGCTGTAATGTTTTTTTTTCAGCGATTGTTCCGTCAATTAGCAAAATTTGGAAATGGTAATAAAACCAACTTTGCCTCATTGCCGTCTAACTGAAATCAGGATACCGGCCATAAGATTGTCAAATATTAGCTTATTGGGCTCACAACAAATTATTGCTGGTTCGGTGTGGGTCGACCCGTCATTTTGGTCTCTGTGCGTTCAGGCCATAGGCGAATATCAATCGGCTCAGTTAAATAATTTATGCCTTTCAAAATTAACCATTAGGGGAAGCGGGGGTAACACCGCCCCCTAAGCTTTTCGCCAAAATGAGAGAATATGTGTGAAGTCTCTTGGTAGTTATTGTCTTGGTTACAATATTTAAACATTTTCTCACGTGTTTTAGGTACTTATTTTGCATGCTCCTAAAAGGTTTTCATGTATCACGACTTTTAAAAATACCTTGCATATTTGCCGCCTACAAATTGTGTGGGTAACCCCGCCACCGGTGTTGATGTTAACCCAACCCATTCCTACGAAAGCTTTAAATTGTTCAGAGATCGCGTGCGATGAGTTTCCTGTCGGTAAGTGGTAATTTTCGCAAATAATCTGTAATGGACACCTAAATAGGTATAGGTTCATCAGCTGTTTGCCAGTTTTATACAGCTGGCAAGTGCTTGGTCGGGATGCATGAAAAATATAAAGTAAAAAATCAAATAAGCTGCTTATTCCCGACTTAGGAACATCTACGAACATAAATAAAGCGTGTCTTTGGAGTTTCGTCACTTATCACGCTACGAACAGGAAACACCGCAACCTCAATCGGGGTAACACCGCCACGGGGTGGCGGTGTTCCCCAATAAGTGATCACAAGCAAAAATCGCCAGCGGCAAGAATGTACTGCACGGTTCAAGCAAACCTTTCTTACTGGACAAAGCCGATCAGTTATTTTTCGATGTAATTAAGTAAATCAAAATGAGTCTCTTCTTAAAGACATTCAAAAGTGCTCCCAACTCATCGAATTTTTATAAGAGAATGTGCATTTTTCTTTAAATGCCCACACTGAGCTTCGATTACACTGAAACACCGGAACACAAATCAGAAGACGCTTACCTTCGTGCGGTTAATAGGAAATAACGGATTTTTACACTTCACATTTCATACTTTCGCCGCCAGATGGGGTGGCGGTGTTTCCCACAGTGGCGGTGTTCCCCCCGCTTCCCCTATCAAGAAGTTTAACTCCCCCATCTGCTGCATGATGGGGGATTGCTCATCAAAATATTTTTATCCTTATAGAAGAGGTTTATTTGTCATTGGGTCCCCACTCTACAGTGCTGAGGGATATTGCTATCTCGCACTGCTCTGAGATGCAAAGATAAGAAATAGGGGGAAGTGGGGCAATGCCGAACTACGGGGAAAGCCGAAATTCTCGATTGTGGCCAAACGACTGGGAGGTGCAGTCCTCTGGTGGCATTTTTGTGAAGTCTCAGTTCAAGTGATTCACCAGTATAAACGCCACGCGCGAACAGTTGTTTGCGAGGTGGCGGCGACGACGGAAGGCCGTATAAGAGGACGGCGGAAGTCTTTCGAGGTACAGTCCACAGCAGAAGTAATGTGGGGTTTCAGTCATGGGTATGTTCTGCTTCTGAAGCTAAGGAACGATTAGCCAGACTACAATGAAACTTTGAATGTAGCTTATATGTATCGTCACCCTTGCAACTGCAACTTTAGCTATTGACATCTTCTTTTCGATCACTCCGCATTAAACAATCGCCAGTCAAAGCCAACCGTTGAGATTGGTAAAACCCTGCATTACTTTAGCGTTGGGCTGAAGTAATGTAGTAATGTGGCCCCCAAAGGCCAGAGTGTGGCCCTTTGGGGGCCACTCTTTGGCCCCCAAAGAGCCCAAAGAGGGCCCCAAAGAGACTCTTTCTAAGTATTGCCCCTAATTTCGCGACGAACCCCATCAATATGCACATTATTGGAAAGAGCGTAATTCCCCAAACAAACAAAACAACAAGTAACATTTTTCGATGGGGCCCACCTGGGGCCCACGGGACCCAATTGAAATTTGGGGCCCAATGGGGCGGCCCCTACGATTTCTTCAAAATTGGCACAGACACTCTCCTGGGCCCCCTCTTCAATCTGGCTGAAGAAACCTACCGGGGAATCCAGAGGAAGGGGCCCAAAGAGGGCCAGGGCCTCCTCTAACATGTTAAAGTGACCATCCCACCTTAACATTAGTTTTGAGTTGAGATAGCCAAATTGGTGGCCATGGCCTGCAAATACCGGTTTGGGCACTCACAACATCGAAAAATGCTTTAATTCGGAGATATGGAATTTCAAACTTGCAGTTTTCGGATTCTAAAGGGCTAATGCATTGAGATGTCCCCTTAGAATTTGTGACGTCAGCGGTGATCTAACGATTTTAAAACCTTATACTAACATCTTTGTAAAGCAGTGGTGGTATATGCTATTTGCGCGCAACATCTGCCGCGAACGCCGCACTTCCAAAATGAAGTCGCTAGGAACAGCAGAGAATTTGTAAACTGCAGTTCGGCTGAAGGCCCTACTGAGATACATGCTGTTTACCTAGACGTTAAGCTGCAAATCATGATATTTGAAAAAATGTTCCAGTGGTTAGGGAGAGCCCCGAATGCATTAATACGACAGCCAGGGCTGAAAGAAACTCGAAAATGTTAGATTTTCTGAGTTTAACTTGAAAACATTGCCAAAAAAGCATTTTTTGTTTGATTCGCTTGTCGATTTTCAGCGCAACTTTACGGATGTGCTCCGTAACACGACCGAACACTGTAGCTTTTGAGCGCAATGCGCTATTTTACGAAAACAGATGTGTGTTTAGGGCGCACTGCGCCCGTGCTTAACACCAATAATAATTGTGCTGTTATTTGCGCTTTAAGTCGACCAGTTGTGTTTTATATATGCATCAGCATGACCACAGGTCTACATAATTATGTTGCGCAGGATATGTATCAAGAGCGCCATTGGGTGTTAACAATTTAGTTGTCGCCAGTGGCGGCGGAAAGTAATTTTGAATGGGGGTGCAAAGTTTTCTCAAGGGACCGCTCTGGATGTTTTGGGCCCCCTTTTTTAGTGATAATTATTGATTTATGAAAAACGAAGATTTTGGAAAACTATCCCCATACACACAAGTTCTGTAAAAGGTTTGAAATTGCAGTGTAACTACCTATCTCAAATAATGAAAGCATAAAGAAGCAAATGCAGCTAGTTTTTTATCGGTATATCTTTTAGTCTATCCACCACCGGCAGCGTCTCAAACCACTTTTCTGGGTCCGCAGTGGACCATTGAGGGCCCTCCGAGACCGTTTCAAGAAGACCGTGTTTAGAAGCCCCTTGGAAGCCGACCACATAGACTCCTCCAGAGACCTACATGACTCCCCAGACTGAATGAGCCCTCCGATCAGGGTCGGTCCCTTGAAAGTTGTTGAAAGGTTTCAGAAGGCAGTATAGGCTCGAAAGTCTTTTGAGGGCTCTCAGAAACCGGCATCGGACCACAAAAAAGCCTGTATGGAGGCCTTCCAAAGCCGGGATGGAGGCCACAGGAGCCGATGTTTAGCCTAAAGAGCCGGTATGGAGGACTAAATAGAGGAAAGGGGTCTCAGTGGGACCTTCAGGGGCAAGCGTTTGAGCCCCAAGAGTATGTGTGGGCTCTTAGAGGCAGGTAGACCCCTGGGGTATGCACGGGGTCCCAGGAGCTCGCGTGTGAGCCCAAATATTCGGCTGGCGGCTACTAGAACCAGCATGGGGATTCTTAGAAGCCGCTTAGACCCACATTTCATGGGTCATGAGTCCCAAGAGTCGATATAGGGGCCATAAAAGCCGGTGTAGGGCCCATGACCCCATAAGTTCCGACATTGAGACTCTCAGAGGCCGGCGACGGGGCACTAAGAGCAGATAAAGTGCCTCAACAAGCCGACATGGGGCCTGAGAATCAGTGTGGAATTCCAGGAGCCTGCGTGAGCTCTCGGAGACTTTCGTATTTCGTAAGGTCCACAAAGGTCGTTGGGTCCTCTGAATCTGAACTCTGCGGGGCCCTTAGAGGCCAGCCTGTCTCCTGGCACCTGCCTGCGTTGAGTTGAGACCCTCCGAGGCCGTCGTAGGGTTCTTCAGAGGCCAGCGTTGGCCCTTGAAGCCTTCGTTAGGCCCTAGAAGCCGTCAAGAGGGCCCTCAGAGGTCAGCATGGCCCCTGGAGCCTGCCTGCGTCGAGGCCCTCAGAGGCCGTCGTGGGGCCCTCAGACGCCAGCGTGGGCCTTTGGAGCTTGCGTTGGGTCTTAGAGACCATCGTAAGGACCCAGAGAGGTCGCCGTCAGGGCTCTCAGCCCCTCAGGGACCCCTCAGAAGTTGTTGTGAGGACCCTTAGAAGCATTCGAGAGGATCATCAGAGGTCGTCATGAGAGTCCTTGGCCATAGTGAGGGTCTTCATGTGCCCTCAGATACCTTTGCAGGGCTCTCAGAGGCCTTGGTAAGACCGCTAGAGGCCATCGTTAGGGCCCCAATAGACCGTTGCAGGGGCCTCAGATGCCAGCATAGCCCCTGCAGCCTGGTTGTGTTGGGGCCCTCAGAGGCCGTCGCT